GGTCCTGGCAGACCCAGCCCTGCAGGGTTCTGTGTGAGGGGGGTGTGAGGTGGGAAGGTTGGTGCTGTCCTGGAGGGGAAGGGGCTCTGAGGCTGAGGATGCTTCTCCGTGTGTTTGATTTAATTTTATTTGAAGTCAGAGCAGTGCAGCAGAGCTGGGCAATCCCCAGCATTGTTGCATTCAGCTAAAGAATAATCTTGTGTTTTGGTGGATTAATGTGGTCACAGACATTCCACAGTGACAGTGGGAGCACAATCATTTATTTCATTTCTTTTTTCAAAGTGTGTTGTAATTGAATGCTTGTGTTGTTTGCAGGTTGGATTTTGAACACAGGTTGATGTAGGGAATTCACAGTAAAAACATTTTTTATGTTTTCTCTAAAACAAAGTAACAAATCTGAACCTGTAGCTGTAGGATTATTGTCAGCAATTGCTGCTCTCAGTTCAATGCAACTAAAAGAATTCACTGCAAAAAAAATTGTTTATTTCTCATTTAAGAAATCACCATAATTTCTTTTTAAGCCTTGTGGATAAGTTTTCTTTAACAAATGTTGCCTTTTTTTCCCTGTCCTTTAGGAATTGTAGAATGGAGAAAAAATATTACTGTTACAATTATTAGATTTTTTTAAAAAATCTCTTCTGTGATATTTATTGGCCTTTGTGCTAGAAGTGCAGTCAGGGTTTTGGGCAGTAGCTGGTGCAGGAAATTAATTGGTAGTGATAATTCCAGATTTGTTTTTCATCTTTGCACTTCGTCTCAAAAGCTCAAATTTGCCATCTTGTCTTGCTCATCAGATTGTAATAATAACAACTTTTACCCTGTATTTCTGGAGATGCTTCAGAGAGCAAAATATTCCTCATTAAAATAAGTTTGAGCTGCTTTTTTAGCATCCAGATGCTCCCAGAATATTAAGAATTCAGCGAGGATGCATCAAGGCTGTGGATTGAGCAGAAATTACAGGGAGAGATGATGAAATGTGCCACAGCTACATGAAAATAGGTGTAAAAATCTTCCTGCAGAGCCTTCTGATCATCAGTTTCATGCAGCTGATGGGAGAGGCTGTTTTAACTCCCAATTTTTTCCCTGCAATGTTTTGTGTCCCCCTTGAATTAAACCTGAGCTGGGGCTTTTCTGAGGAGCTGATTCTCATTTTTCCATCCTCACATTGAGCAGGATGGCAAAAACACAGCAGAGAACAACTTCACTTCTCACGTGTTGTCACCTGCTAAGGGGAGCTCAGAGATTTGCCAGGAAACTTCAGGTTTTGCTGGTTTAATTTGAGAGAAAAAATGTCCTTTTCTGAGAGAAGGCAGCTCCACTGTGGAGTGAGCAACGAGCCTTGGCTTTGCTCAGATTCTCCTCAAGTGAGAGGTTTCACCTGAATCCTCTGGTGAGATGTTCTGGGAGGGAGGAAGAGGAGGAGAAGGAAATGGGAGAGGAAGCAGGAAAGGGGGAAAATATTGATAGCAAAATGAAAGAGGAGATTTTTGTGTCAAGCCCGGTTTTGGGAGCTCTGGGTTTGACACCTCCTTATTTTTCCTTATTTTCCCAACCCCAGGTGCTGTGTGAGCTGTTTCCACACCCCAGGAATTATCACATTTTGGATCTCTTTTTGAAAAAATCCCACCCCTTGTCTCCTCAGGGGAAAAAGGAGTGTGTGAGGTTAACATGCCTGAAATAGTTGTGTGAGCTCGCAGGGAATGTCAGGAGATTCACACTCTCTGTGCAGCTCCAGCACCTCCAGGGGTGATACTTGATAAAAATATTTCAGGCCAGAGGGGTTTCCTGTGCTCTCAGGACACCAAACTCCTTTTTGGAATTGCTGGCATCAAGTTTTGGAGGTATTTTCACATTCCTGCCTGTGGTTGGAACGTGGAAGGCAGGGATGTGGAAACTGGGGGGGAAAAGCCTGGCACTGTTTGTTTTGTGTGGTATAAAGTTGGGTTTTTAAATCTTGGTTAATGATGGAGGATTGCTTTATCTTTGTCTTTTTTTTTTTTTTTTTTCCAGTCTTAACATATTAAATAGAAGAGAGATGTCTCTCTGGTGTTATAGTGGTATCTTAATAATCTAGGCTTTGTTCCAGGCTCTTGAAATTAATTTGGGCAAATCCATTTCTGTCTCATTCTGCTGTCTGTAAAGTGAGCTTGATAAATGCTGCAAACTCTTAAAGACCTTAAAGATTTCTATGTGAAATGTGGCACATTTAGGTTCTGCAACTTTGAAGAGCCTGGAAAAAACCCACAGCAAAACAAAACTTAACAGAATGTGTGAAGGTGAATCACATTCACTGTCCCCCTGTTCCCAATTTCTATTTGATTGCTTTAAATGCAAACCTTGGATTCTTGGTGACAGTGGAAGAAAATACAGCACCGTGACAGGACTCACAAAAATGAGCATTAAGGCTTGAACTCAGACTGTTCCCGGAAGAAAACAAATGCTGAATTATACTCTGTAACATTAAATTATTAATTCATTCCTGCTGTTGTTTAGCTGCCGTCTCCTCCTGGGTTGTCTGTGTGATTTCCCCTCTCCTGCTGCTGCAGTGGGGGGCTCTTTCTGGCAGCAAATGCAGGCTCGGCTGAGCCTCGCAGGGCTGACTTTGCTGTCGTTGCCCTCAGGTTGAGCAGCTCCACGGAGCAGAGCACTTCATCCCGGCTCATCCGCAAGCACAAACGCCGGAGGAGGAAACAGAGGATGAGGCAGATTGACAGGGTAAGCCCGGCACCAGCGGCATCCACGGAGCTCAGCTGGCGTTTTTGGAGTGGTGCTGCTCGCTCAGGGAGGGATCCAGGACAGCTCTGTGCCTTTTGGGATTCACTGGGAAGGCTCCCATGTGAATGTCTGCGTTTGAAATTCCGCTGCTCCAAAGTCAAGTTTTCACCTCTCTCCTTTCAGCGATCCCATTTCTTGTCTTTTCCAAGATCAATCTCTGGAGGAGAAGCTCCATTGTGATGTGGGAAGGGTGTGGTTATTGTGCTGAAAAGAGAGAGAAAGGACAGCAAAACACACGGAGCTCTTTGGGGAAAAAAA